AACTTCTGTGCCTTAATAAACACACCTAACACTAAGGAACAGTTCTTTCCAACCTTTTATAATATTATGAAAAAGAGAAAATACCAATTGATTGATTCAGAATCCACTGATACTATGTATTAACTAAGACATATAATTTATTCTGCACTGGTTTGACTAGATTAACTGAAATAAAAATGAATAAAGGATTGTAAAATATTCTATTTAACAGAGGAAACTCATTTCTTCTTCCTTGAATATTTGAAGTTTATAGTTTATATACTTCTATTTCTACATCCTGCTGCCATCAATGACAACCAGTTAAGTCAGAAAATCTTGTTAGAATCTGCCACCTTAGAATGCTCAAACTGACCTACTTAGCAGGTTAGTCTACTATTTTTTGCCTGATTGTTATGGCAGGAAGTAATAAAAGCTCTTTCACCAAACATTCAAAATGAAAAATACAAATTTAATATTTGGTAGTTCCTTCAAAGACAAAGGAAAAATAAAACTGATGTGCAAATAATCTTAGACTGTGGATAAATTTGTATTGATGCTGGGAATAATGTAAGAAAATCAATTAAAGACTTAGAGGATTATAGGTTTTGTTACAATTACCTGGAAAGTATTTACATGGCAAATGTAAAACAAATATACTTCTACAAATACTTTGGCTTTCAGAGACAATGTTATGCAAAGAGATATATTTAATATTCTGTTGACATTAAATTTATTATTTTTAAATGTTACCCAAATTGATATATTTTGTTTTCTTTTTTTATCACCTTAATTTTTGAATATATTTCTCTCTACTTTCCTTTCTAGTGAAAACAATAAAAAAAAAAGATAAAAAAAGAAAGGGCCAAGCTTAATGATAATTACATAGCATTTAGTTTCAATTTTTTGTTTTTTCCATTTATATTGCTGTAGTCACTATGTATGTTTTCCCGGTTCTCCTTATTACACTCAAAATCAATTCATAAGTCTTCTCACACTTCCCTGAGTTCTGTATATTCACTGTGTACCAATGAATTTAATTAACAGATACTCCTGAGGGTCTTCTGTTATTCTCAGCCCTATCCTAGGTATCATAAGAGATGCACACATGCCTCTGTAAGACTTTCAAGATCTCATTTCTTTCTTTATTTCCCCTGATGTCACTGGTTCCTAGTCCTTTCTTTGGCTACTATGGAGTATAGCTGTTATGTTACTAAGCTGTGAATTGGCTCAAAAGATCTAAAACCCATTTTGGTTTTATTTCCAATCTATGTCAAAGATATGAACCATATTATCTTCAGTTTTGCTTACGTGCGTAGTTTTCTTGTCCCCATTTTCAATAGAAGAAAAAGAAAGGAATATAAGACAGCGAGATTTACTTCAATTCCTGGCAAAATTCCAAAATGTATTATTAATATACTATTTAGTGAACATCTAGAAATTAAATGATCATCACAAATAATAACTAAGATTTATATATATATATATATATATGTGTATATATATACATATATATGAACACCTCATTTTATCCTTAAAACATCCCTGTGAGGATCCCTATTTTACAGATGAGCAAACTAAAGCACCTAGAAATTAAGTGATCCCAACTTCCAGGAAATAGAGAATATAAATAACCATATCTCAGAAAAAGAAATCCAACAAGCCATAATTGAACTCCCATAGAAAAAATATTCTAAGGCAAGATGGATTTACAAATGAATTATACTAAGATCCAAATAACAATTAAGTTCATTACTATATAAATCTTTGGGGGAAAAAAGACAACCAGGAGCCCTACCAAATTTCTTCCTTGATACAAATATGTAAGAAAGAAAGAAATAAGAAAGAAAACTATGACCCAGTATCCCTTATGAATACTGACACAAAAATTTTAAATAAAATATTAACAAAGAAGTGAAAGAATTCCAGCTGAGCTATTTAAAATCCTAAAAGATGATGCTGTTAAATGTGCTATACTCAATATGCCAACAAATTAGAAAAACTCCACACTGGCTACTAGATTGGAAAAGATCGTGTTATGTCCCAATCCTAAAGAAGGGCAATGACAAGGAATGTTCCAATTACCAAACAATTGCATCCATTTCACACACCAGCAAGGTTATACTTAAGATTCTACAAGCTAAGCCTCAGTAACATGTGAACTGAGAATTACCAGAAGAGCAGGCTGGTTTTCAAAGAGGCAGAGGAGCCAGAGATCAAATTGCCAACATCTGCTAGATTATAGAGAAAGCAAAGGAGTTCCAGAAAAACATCTACTTCTGCTTTATTGACTACACTAAAGCCTCTAAGTGTGTGGATCACAACAAAATGTAGTAAGTCCTCAAAGAGATGGGAGTACTAAATAATCTCACTTATCTCCTGAGGAGCCTGTATGTCAGTCAAGAAGCAATAATTAGAACTGAACATGGAACAACTGATTGGTTTAAGATTGATAAAGGAGTATAACAAGGTTGTCATACTTATATGCAGAGTACATTACATGAAATGCCAGCTGGATGAATCAAAAGCCAGAATTAAGTTGATGAGAGATATCTCAACAATCTCAGATATGCAAATGATACCACTCACAGAAAGCAAAGGGGAATTTAGATGGCTCTTGACGAGGGTGAAAGAGGAGACTATAAAAGCTGGCTTGAAGCTTAACAACAAAAAACCTAAGACCTTGGCCACTTGTCCCATGACTTCCTGGCACACAGAGAGAGAAGAAATGGAAGCAGGGTCAGATTTTATATTCTTAAGCTCAAAGGTCACTGCAAATGATGATTGCAGCCAAAAAATTAAAAGACACTTGTTTCTTGATAGGAAGACTATGGCAAATCTGAACACCATACTAAAAAGCAGAGATACCACCTTGCCAACGAAATCCATATGGTCAAAACCATGGTTTTTTCAGTAGCAATGTATGTCTGTGAGAATTAGACTATAAGGAAAACTGAGTGCTGCAGAATTGACACTTTCAAACTGTAATGGTGGGGAAGCCTTGGACAGCAAGACATCAAATCAGTCAATACGTAAAGAAATTAATTCAGACTTTCACTAGAATACAGAAGCTGAAGCTTAAAACTTTGGCCACATAATGTGAAGACTGGACTCAATGGAAAAGACCCTGATGCTGGGAAAGATTGAAGGCAAAAGGAAAAGAGGACAGCAGAAAATGACATGGAGAGATATTGTCATAGAAGCAATGAACATGAACTTGGCCAGCCTTCAAGAGATAGTGGAGGACAGAAGGACCTGGAACGCTAAGAGTCAAACATGACTAAACAACTGAACAAACACCCCTGAAACTATGAGGAGATTAAATGATCACCCTCTGAAGACTCAGCCCACTAATTCAAATGGGAACTAGGGAAGTAGCTGCAAAAATGTGCCACATTTATCTCACTGATGTGGCAATTTGCTCCAAGAACATGGGTCACAACCAGTATCTGCCTGCCCCTCTCATATCTCTGGTTCATTTCCTCTCATGGGTTACATTGCTCTGGCTACACACTGGTCATCCCTCCTTCTTGTCACATCACCAGCCTATCTTCTGTGCCTCCCATGCAAATATCTCCATGATCCATTTTAATCCTATTCTTCCTCAGAGTTCCTCACTGGTTATGGTGTTGCGGTTACATATTTCATTACCAGCACTACCACCACTATCACTTTCTCACCAAAAAGGAGGAAAACTATTGACAGACATTTTTTACAGACCATGATAAATCTACACAAATACATCTGGAACAAGCAAACCTCATTTTACCCAACAATCGCAAAAGGAGTTTATGATGGCAATTTGGGACCAGGTTACTGCTACCAAAAATTACAGAAGGGTTACTTTAAGAAATCCAGACATAATGGTCCATGCAAATGAAGCAAGGAAATAGTGGTACCCAAGCATTACAACGCTGCAGGCAACAATCTGTTAACTACCAAACACTCAGCAAGAAATGATCTGGGAACTAGAATTATATTTTACAAGCTCACTACCTTCTAAGAACTGACAAAAGAAAAATCCTCATCCTACATTTAAGACCGAAAAATATCCTGCAGAGATCAAAGCATATTATTTGCTCTTTTTTCTTTTATTTTGTTTGTTTCTTCTTTCTCGTGGTTTCTCCTATTGGTTCTAATTCTTCTTTATGACATGACTAACGTGAAAATAGGTTCAGCATGAATGCGTATGTAGAGCCTATATCAAATTACACACCATCTTGGGGTGGGGGGAGAGGAAAGATGGGGAGAAAATTTGGAACTCAAAATCTTATGGAAGTGAATGCTGAAAACTAAAATTAAATAGACAAATTAATATAGATAGATAGATAGATACAGATATAGATATCTTGAAGAACTCCACTAACTAATCTGTACTGAAATCAGAGTATGCAAACAAGCTAAGATCCATATCCCCAGCATCCTGTCTGCTATTAGAGTTTTACCAAAGATGACTTCAGGGAGCCTAGAGAAGAAGGGCTTAAATATTAATCCTTTCATTCAACTGCAAAAAGCAGTTATTTTACCCATACATTAGATATAAAAAAGAGCAACATAATTATTCGTCCCAGTATCTGAAATCCACTGAACAAGATGAGAAGGATTTTACAACAACAACATGAATAATAATAATAATAGAGAAGCACTGAGGCATAGTGGACAGAGGGCCAGATTTAGAACCAAGAAGAGCTGGGTTCAAGTCTTGCCTCTAACACATCCTGGCTATGTGACTGTGTTAAGTCACTTCTCAGTGTTCTATGCCATTCTCGAAGTTGTAGAGAACATGCCAACTGGCATGAGTAGACGGAGTTTCCTCACTAAGGAGCTCTTCATATCAGTAAAATCATAAGTCAGGTCCATATTTCTAGGAATAATAACAACTATTACTATCAGAACTGATCTAGATAGCGTTTTAAAAGTTTGTGAAGCTTTTTGCATACATTATAAAAATCAAGGTTGATGTAAAGCTAAGCTAGCTTAAAAGTATATATGTGTTTACCATAAGACATTGATACTAGACTTACCAGTAAGGTCTGTCCTTGGGAAATGAAGAAATGACCTGATACAACTATGGTGAGAACAAGAGAACCAGATTTATCATTAGAATCAAATACCTACAAAAAAAAGAGAGAAAGATATGTAAGGACAACCCATTTCTGGTATAATGGAAAATGCCCATATTGTTTCCTTCTTTGTGTATATACGACCCTGAATGGCTATCTTTTTTTTAAGACAGCACAGGCTCCCAAATATTTGAGAATTGCGACCCATGTAGCCCTTATGCTTTTCTTACTATTTAAACAGTTCTAATGGAATTTCTTCAGTAATAAACTTTCTTTTTTAAATAGATTTTTATTGATTTCTTTTGTTTGTACGCTGCCTAGATTTCACCCTAAATTTTTCTTTGTCCCTCTTAAAGAGAAGAATCCATATAAAAACTTTTTTAAAGGAGGAAGAGAAAAAAAACCCAGCAAAACAAGAAAAACAGGCCTTGCCTTCAAGCTTCTTACATTCTAATGGGGGAAGACAACATATAAAAGGAAGCTGAAGGTACCCAGTGCAAAGGCAAAGTAAAGAAAGTGCAGAGTTCAGCTTAGAAAAGAAATGAGAAGTGACTTGGCCTGGGTACCATCATGAAATGGAGATTCTGAGAGAAGACACTGAAGCAGAAGAGTCCACAAGGGTCAAGGGTATTTCTGATTTGTGAATTCTAGAGCTGCTATTAGCTTCTAGGATAATGTGATTTCTGGGGTATGGTAGAGAAAGTTCTGAGGTTAAGCCATGAGAGCAATTAGCTGTTAACAGTTTGCAATTCTTCTTTTTGAGAATTATTTGTTCATAACCTTTAATCACTTAGCTACTGAGAAAGAGGTTTTGATCATAAAAATATAAGTGTTACCATTTTCTACATATTTTGAATAACAAATTTGCATATGGAAAATGTGATTTTTTTTGTAATCTACTGTTTGCTGTCTTTTCCTAGATGCATTTTGTTTGTGCAAAAGTTTTTCAACTTCACATAATCAAAATTATATATCTTATCTTTTATGATTGCTTTTATACCTTATCTAGTTAAGAATTAACCTCTCCTCAAAGCTTGGAAGTATATGATCTACTTGTTTTCTAATTTTTTATGGTAAAATTTTTAATATGCAAGTCATAATGCAGTTGTTAATATCTTTAAAAATGTAGTGTTACTTACGGTCTAATTTCTGCCAGGCTGCTTTCCAGTTTTCCTGGTAGTTCTTATCAAATAGGATTTCCTCCCTAAGTAATTTATGGTTTCAGGATTATCAAATACCGGGTTACATTCCATTTTCTAATTCTTCCTTAGTGTGTTCCATTAATATTTTTTACTTTTATAGTATAAAATTATTCATTTTATTATTATTTTGTTATAAAATATTTTACTTTTTGAAAGAAATACCAAATAATTTTTACTACTGCTAGTTTATTATATAGCTTTAAGGTCTGGAAGTGCTATTCACCATTCATTTCTAACTTTTTCCATTATTTCCCTTGATATTCTATACCTTTTCTTCCTACAAATGAATTTTATTATTTTATCAAGCCCTGCAAAATACTCCTTTGATAGTCTGATTAGTATAACATTAAAACTGTAAACTAAGTTTGGTAGCACTATCATTTTTATTATATTGACATAGGCCTGCCATTAACACTGAATATTCTTCCACCTATTTAAGTTTTTCTTTATTTAAGAAACATTTTATATTAGAATCTATTCAAGTATTGCATAAGCTATGCATGATAAATTGAGCCCAAATAGTTTGTGCATTTTGTAGTTATTGTGAGTAACATTTTCTTTTACTGCTGCCTCTTGGATTTAGTTATATAGAAATGCTTTATTTCTGTGGATTTACTGTATAACCTGCAACTATGCTGCAAGTTTTGTTTAAAATTGTTTCTTTACTTGTTCCCTAGGATTTTCTAAGCAAACCACCATACATTTTTTTAAATTCAAATTTTTTAGCTACAAATTCTCTCCCTCCCACTACCCCATTTGAAAAAGCAAGAAAACCAAAAACTATTACAAATCAACCAATCAATAAACATTTTAAGCACCTACTATGTGCCAGGTACTATGCTAAGCACTGGGAATGATAAAAGAGGCAAAAGACAGTCTGCCCTCGAGGAGCTTACAATCTAATGGGGAAGACAATATGCAAACACATACAAAGCAAGTTGTATAATGGATAAATAGGAAATAATCAAAGAGGAAAGGCACTGAAATTAAGAGGAATTAGGGAAGACTTCCTGTAGAAGGTGGGATTTTAGTTAGGACTTAAAGGCAGACACGGAGGTGAGTAGTCAAAGCAGAGAGGCAGTGTTCCAGATATGGGCGACAGCCAGAGAAAATGCCTGGAGCTTAGTCAAGAAAAACAAATTCCCACATTAATGATGTCCAAATACACACACACACACACACACACACACACACACACACACACACACACACACACACACACACACAGAGTCTCCTACCTTAATCTGCATTCCAAGACTATCACCTCCCTATCTGTGAACAGCATGTTTCATCATTAGTCCTCTGGAATTGTGGTTGATCACTGTGATGATCACAGTTCCTAACACTTTCAAAGTTGTCTTTACAATATGAACAGTATTCTGGGTTTGCTCACTTCACTTTGCATCACTTCATAAAGTCTTCCCAGCTTTTTCTGAAACCATTCCCTTCATCATTTCTTACAGTGCAGTGTTCTATCACATTCACATACCATAGTTTGTTCAGCCACTTTCCAAATAATGAGCATTCCCTCCGTTTCCAATTTTTTGCTACCATGAAAAAGCTGCTATAAATATTTTTGTACATATAGATCCTTTTCCTCTTTCTCTGATCTCTTTGGGGTATAGACCTAGTATCAATATTAATAGTTTTTTGGGAATAGCTCCAAACTACTGTCCAGAATTACTTGACCAGTTCACAGATCAATCAACAGTATATCAATGTGACTATTTTCCCACAACCCCTCCAGCATATATCATTTTACTTTTTTTGTCAATTTTGTCAATCTGATGGATGTAAGGTGATACCTAAAGAACTGTTTTTTTTTTCATTTTTAGGCAATTGGGGTTAAGTGACTTGCCCAGGGTCACACAGCTAGTCAGTGTCAAGTGTTTGGTCTGAGGACATATTTGAACTCTGGTCCTCCTGACTTCAGGGCTGGTGCTCTATCCATTGCGCCACCTAGCTGCCCCCTAAAGAATTGTTTTAACAGCAAGAGAGAAAGCAGCAAGAGATAGAAAAAGAAATTCCATTTAAAGTTACTGTAGATATTATAAAATACTTAGAAGTCTACCTGCCAAAACAAACCCAGGAACTATATGAACACAATTACAAAACACTTTTTCACACAAATAAAGTCAGATCTAAATAACTGGAAAAACATCAGTTGCTCATGGGTAGGCCTAGCTGATATAATAAAAACAACAACTCTACCTAAATTATTTACTTTTTCAGTGTCACACCAATCAGACTCCAAAAAGTATTTTATAGAGCTAGAAAAAACAGTAACAAGATTCATCTGGAAGAACAAAAGATTCAGAATATCAAGGGAACTAATGAAAAATGCTAGGGAAGGTGACCTAGCCATATTAGATCTTAAATTGTATTATAAAGCAGCAATCATCAAAACTACTTGGTACTGGCTAAGATATAGAGTGGTAGATCAGTGGAATAGGTTAGGCACACAAGACACAGTTGTCAATGACTATAGTAACCTACTGTTTGACAAATCCAAAGACCCCAGCTTCTGGGACAAGAACTCACTATTTGATAAAAACTGTTCAGAAAACTGGAAAAGAATATGGCAGAAATTAGGCATAGACCAAAATCTTACACCATATACCAAAATAAAGTCAAAATGGATAGCTGATAAAGGCTGATACTATAAGCAAATTGGGAGAGCAAGGAATAGTTTACCTGTCAGATTTATGGGGAACAGAAGAATTTATGACCAAACAGGAGATAGAGAACATTATGAAATGCAAAATGGATAATTCTGATTATATTAAATTGAAAAGGTTTTGCACAAACAAAGCCAATGCAACCAATATTAGGAAGGAAGCAGAAAACTGGGAAAGAATTTTTACAAACAGTGTTTCTGATCAGGTCCTCATTTCTCAAATATATAGAGGACTAAGTCAAATTTAGAAGAATACAAGTCATTCTCCAATTGATAAATGGTCAAAGGATATGAACAGGCAGTTCTCAGATGAAGAAATTAAAGCTATCTATAGTCATGAAAAAAATGCTCTAAATCACTATTGATTAGAGAAATGGAAATCAAAATGACTCTGATGTACCACATCACACCCATCAGACTGGCTACAATGACAAAACAGGAAAATGATAAATGTTGGAGAAGATACAGGAAAGTTGGAACACCAATGCATTGTTGGTGGAGTTGTGAAATGATCCAAACATTTTGGAAAGCAATTTGGAACTATGCCCAAAGGGCTATAAAAATGTACATACCCTTTGACCCAGCAATACCACTTCTAGGGCTGTATCCCAAAGAGATCATAAAAATGGGAAAAGGACTCCCATGTATAAAAATATCTATAGCAGCTCTTTATGTCTAAATCATGGACCCATTTGGAATTTATCTTGGTATATACAGTGTGAGATGCTGATCTATACCCAGTTTCTGCCCGACTGCTTTCCATTTTTCACTCCAGTTTTTGTCAAATAATGAGTTCTGGTTCCAGTAGCTGAGATCTTTGAGTTTATCCAACACTATGCTGCTATGCTTGTTTGCTTCTACATACTGTGTACAAAATCTCTTCCACTGATCAACCTATTTCTTACCTACTACCAAATTGTTTTGATTATGACTTTGTAGTATAGAGATCTGCCGCTGCTAGGCCCTTTTCCTTTCTACTTTTTTTCATTAACTCCCTTGGTATTCTTGACTTTTTGTTCCTCTAGAGGTATTTTTTTAATTATTTTTTCCAAATCTATAAAATAACGCTTTGATAGTTTGGTATGGCCTTGAATAAGTAAATTAATTTTTATTCTATTGGCCTGGCCTATTTATAAGCAACATTTCTCCCATTATTCAGATTTGTCTTTATT